CTCGCGCCGACCAGTGATGTGAATTGAAAGTCACAGGTTGACTTCAACGGTAGCCAGCAGCCAGCTGACTCTATAAAAGAAAAGCAGAAAAGCGGCTGGCCAGTGCTTCTGTGACGCTCGCGCCGACCAGTGATGTGAATTGAAAGTCACAAGTTGACTCCAACGGTAGCCAGCAGCCAGCAGCCAGCTGTCTCTTTAAAAGAAAAGCAGACAAAGCGGCTTTCCAGTGCTTCTGTGACGCTCACGCACACCAGTGTTGTGAATTGAAAGTCACAGGTTGACGTCAAGGGTAGCTAGTAGCCAGCTGGCTCTATAAAAGAAAAGCAGGCAACGCAGGTCGAACATCATACAGAATTCAATTTGCACCTTCTCTATACTTTACTTTTTCGCTGCGGCATTCTCAAATTCCACTACAATGTTGTTTTCAGCTTCAATGTCAATGCCACTGACACAACGACTGACTGATGATTGCGTGCACATGCGCTCTTTTAATTACATAGTACAGCGTAATTTGCCAAGAAATACTCAAAGTTCTCCAATAAATATACAAGCTTGCATGTGTTATTTTATAGAACTTTAAATTAATTTGAAGCTCTTCAAGACTTTTTTAATTCAAAAGCTAACGTTACATTTAACAACAGCTCTTTTCCAGCGTCTATATACACCCATATGAATGCAGTCCGATAAGTACTTAACCTACAAAAGAACAGAGAAAATAATAAAAAAAAATATCAATTTATTTCTGAACATCCTTTTACTTCGAAAAGCTTGACCGAGCGTACTTCACGGACAGCCCTCGTATTCATATGTTTATTTACGTAGTATGGAAAATTTTAATTAATACAAGACAATTTGAAAAATTAAAGTAATTGCTACAATTTAGACTGTATATATCATAATATATAACAAATAAACGCAACCCGAAAACGTCATAAACTTAATTACCGTTCCGTCGTTTACGTTAAGTTAAATTGTTGCGTTTTCTAAGCAAACTGATCAAGTTGATTGCACGAAAACACTACATATATCGAAGGTTTCAGATTACATTCTTAATATATATATGTATGTATATATAATACTGAAATATGTTAAAAACTCATATTTAGGTAATATTATTATAAAATCAATCAGAGGTACAGAAATCCGGGTAGTAGGTGTCATATAGTTCGGATGTATTTCATCCATGGACTGAAAAACAATAACAGAATGTTTTTCTGACAAAAAAAAAATTTGCTTTGACCAAAAGACTGTTAATTCGGCACCCTCCCTAAAATTAATTCACTAATTTTCATGTCATATCAATGAACTTAACTCGCTTTAAACAATATTTCGCGGATAGTTACTAATAAGACTTTAGGCTCTAAGCTAAAAACTTTAAGCCATCTTAATATCCTATACTTATATATATTTAATATACATTTATATATTTAATATATTTAAAAGAGCTAGCAAAATCCGATCCGCCCTATTAGTTTTATACACCCTGTGTTTAAGAATTCGCATTTATAATGATAATGAAACACTGGATTCGCAATTTGTGCAAATAGTTGGCACCATTTTTAGTTTGACAGAAATGGTCGCCAGTATTTTCAGTTTTCCACCGAATAGACATTAAAAATAGAAGAATTGTGCGAAAACTGTATTTAATATACTACTTGTTGTAGAAAGTCTCTAAATAAAGGTGTAATACTGTAAGGAACAAATATTAATTAAAACTTAAGCTAAACTATTAATTTAGTGTGGTTGTGAGTGTCATTGTCGAAATGGAAGCTCTTATTCCGGTTATAAATAAATTGCAAGATGTTTTCAACACAGTAGGATCGGATTCTATACAATTGCCTCAAATTGTAGTACTTGGAAGTCAGGTAAGTGATTAGCTCGATCGAAAGTAGAGTTAAATGTTATCAGCATACATATTATGAACTGATAAAACTGCAGTTGAGTGGCTTGTGGTATAAGCCTAGAGTAGCATGTGCCAATTGGCAATTTTTTGCAGATTGCAATTCAGGGTTATGAAGATGAAATATTTTTATGTGGAACAGTTTAAAAAATACTTTCCTTTCTGTTTAATTATATAATAGCACAGAAGTAGCCAGCTTTGAAAAATTGTCAATATTTAAGCATTAATATTATAAATCGATATGTTTATAAATTGTTTATGTAACCTCCAAGTCGAAAGTGATTTGTGTAAAATAATCAATACCGAATGTGATGCGACTAAACATTTGTTGCAATGACGGCAGTATACAGCTTCATTGACATATTCTACACACACCTAAACGTTAATATGTACATACATAAATAATATTATATTTATTTATACATAAGAACATGGAACACGAGACCTGTTAAGACCATTAATCAGCTCCAATTAAATTTTAGACTTATAAACTATTACATTATCGAGTAAGTTTGTGTGTAATATGTCCACTCGGAAGGTGTTGCTTTCAAATCACGGCTAGATTAATTATTAATACATTTTTAGCAATATGTTGTTTAGTGTTGCCTAAAGCATAGAATAAATTCTTATCAGGTTAAGATATTTTATAAATATCTAGCCCTTCAGCATTTAATTAAATCTGATCAAACTTCCAAATTGTGGGCGAATATAGAATAAATGTTGATAACTTCTGATAAGCATTGACATATACGTAGATCTTATTATACTTAAAAACAATATTCAAACTGCACTCATTATAATGTATTAATAATTACAATGATTCGAAATATTATTAAAATTTAATTTTCTTTTTTCAAATAACTTAGAGTTCCGGCAAAAGTTCAGTTATAGAGAGTTTGGTGGGACGCTCTTTTCTACCTCGTGGTACAGGTATAGTGACGCGTCGCCCACTTATTTTACAGCTGATTCACTGTCCTCTCGATGATAGGGAACACCGTTCGGCTGAAAATGGTAAACTAGTATTTTATTTATTAATCGAACTACTGTGAAATACAACATATACATATTTACAGGAACAATTAATGCAGAAGAGTGGGGTAAATTCTTGCACACCAAGAAAATTTTTACAGATTTCAATCAAATTCGCAACGAAATTGAAGAAGAGACTGATCGTGCTGCTGGCTCCAACAAAGGCATTTGTCCTGAACCAATCAATCTTAAAATATTCTCAACACGCGTCGTAAATTTAACACTCGTTGATTTACCTGGTATAACTAAAGTGCCTGTTGGTGATCAACCAGAAGACATAGAAGCACAAATTAAAGACTTGGTTTTAAAGTTTATTGATAATCCGAATTCTATCATTTTGGCGGTGACCGCCGCAAACACCGATATGGCGACAAGTGAAGCGTTAAAATTGGCTAAAGAATGTGATCCCGATGGTCGGCGCACCTTAGCCGTGGTTACAAAACTCGATCTCATGGACGCTGGCACCGACGCTATTGACATATTATGTGGCCGAGTAATACCAGTAAAACTAGGAATTATTGGTGTGGTAAATCGTTCGCAACAGGATATTATTGATAAAAAACAAATTGACGATCAACTTAAAGACGAAGCGGCGTTTTTGCAAAGGAAATATCCTACATTAGCTACTCGTAATGGCACACCTTACTTAGCAAAAACTTTAAATCGTTTGCTTATGCATCACATACGCGACTGCTTACCAGATCTGAAAGTAAATATTTAACACAAACTTACTTTGTCAAAATTTGTTATACATTTTCCTCTTTATTATTATGTTTCACATTTTATCAATTTCAGACTCGTGTCAACGTAATGTCATCACAATTTCAATCTCTATTACACTCTTATGGCGAAGACGTTTCGGACAAAAGTCAGACACTACTACAAATCATAACCAAATTTGCTAGTGCCTACAATTCCACCATTGAAGGTACCGCGCGCAATATTGAAACAACCGAACTTTGTGGTGGTGCGCGCATTTGTTATATTTTTCATGAGACATTTGGTCGCACACTTGATTCCATACATCCATTATCCGGATTAAGTAAAATGGACATATTGACAGCTATACGCAATGCGACTGGTCCGCGGCCGGCACTTTTCGTACCCGAGGTTTCGTTTGAATTGCTGGTGAAACGGCAAATACGACGCTTGGAGGAGCCTTCATTGCGTTGCGTAGAGTTAATACACGAGGAAATGCAACGCATTGTACAGCATTGTGGCAATGAAGTACAACAGGAAATGCTGCGGTAAGCACATTTATTTTATTAAATTTTAGTAATAAAAGTAGCGTTATAAATGACAATTTTAATTATATATTCAGATTCCCGAAATTACACGAGAAAATTGTTGATGTGGTTACGCAACTTCTTCGACGACGTCTGCCCGCCACCAATGTAATGGTTGAAAATCTGGTAGCTATCGAATTGGCTTATATTAATACCAAGCACCCCGACTTTCATAAGGATGCTGCATTAGTTCCCAGTCTACTAAAGGCAGATAATATCATTGAGCCATTCAGTCATTTGAGTGCGCAAGTTCAACGACGCACCAATACAACACCACGCAATTCCAATTCGTCACCACAAGTGTCAGCACCGCATCAACAACAGCAGCAGCAACAGCAACAACAAAATGATACTCAAGAACAAGTATGTTATTTATATGAAATTGTTCTTTACAATTTTTACACAATATTTTCAAAATTTACAGAATCATATTGGTGAAAATGCCGTGGGTAATAGTTGGTTATCTACAATTTTACCTCCGGCACCGTCTACTTCACCGGCGGTTAGAGCGCCAGAAAGCTTCGATAATTCTGCAAGTAATACTCCTTTACATAATCATATTTCGAGTCCTTTAAAACCAGTTAACTTATTGCCCGATATGCCAGTTCAACATGGTTCAAGACGCTTAACTGATAAGGAACAAAAAGATTGTGATGTTATTGGTGAGTTCTGTAATTAGATATTAATTTATGATATTAATATTTTAAACTTCTTCTTTAAAAACTATTCATATGAATTATGGTTCTTTTGATATATTTCAGAACGCTTAATTAAGTCATATTTCTACATTGTGCGCAAATCCATTCAGGATTCAGTACCAAAAGCTATAATGCATTTCTTAGTTAATTACGTTAAGGATAACTTACAAAGCGAACTAGTCACACATTTGTATAAGTCGGAGAGGGCAGAAACTTTACTCAACGAATCTGACCATATTGCGGTGCGACGAAAAGAGGCGGCTGATATGTTGAAGGTATGTTCGTTACATGTATTGTTATATTTATACAATTGTACTAAAATTTGATCTATCTTTATCAGGCGCTTACCAGGGCAAACCACATAATAAGCGAAATTCGCGAAACGCATATGTGGTAAAGAGACATTTTGGTGATATGGCTAATGCGACTTTGAAAATGTATTTCAAATACAACATGTCGTCATTAGAGCTTCGTCACCAGTTGGTGATTTGTATTTTTCATTAAAGCTGCATTCATAAATAATATATATATATACATATGTTCATTGTCAAGTTTATTTTTTATTATTCACTTCAAATTTACTTTACCAATTCTACAATTTCTCATTTACGCAAAACAACAGACAAAATCAAAAAGAGAACGCATGCATAATTTTTTAGTTCACAAAAGAATTAGTGTTGCATAAAATATTAAATAGCATCAGTGCTGTCAATTGCATATACATATAGTATATGTTTCGGTGATTTTTTAAAAAGGCTACTATATGCACTGATAGGAAATGTAATAACATAAAATTTTTAAATATTAAATTCAGCGAGCTATTGCATTTCATTCTACTTCAAACCAAAAAAATATATATAAATAAACAACATAATTTCTTTTGATTCAAATTAGATAATTTATAAAACCTTGTAAGTGCTTAGTTAAAGTAATTTGTTATGAATGAAAATATGTGTCGGTATTTGTTAGTACTATCTGTTTTCATTATGTGTTTGGGTCCTAAACAGATATTTAGAACAACTAAGTAATCTCGCCCATAAACACACACGTCTCGATAAGCTCAGTTAATTGAAAAAAAATAATGCTTATAATATGCACTATTATATAACTGATAATACTTGACATAAAACAAAACGCTACCCTGTTAAAAATAAAATAAAAACCATAACAAATATACAGTTGTTTTGAAATAACTTAATTGTATTATCCTCTATTATACGTTGAGCAATAATAACTATTACACATATATATATTAATGGCTTAAATGAGAGTAGTAAGCTGCAACACATTTTCATTGTTCGATCCAAAAATGCATAAAGTGTTATCTGTTGAATTCATTCACTGCTTAAGTATAGTATAGTATCGTTCAACAATTTCATTTTTTATTGTATAATGTCTCCGATTACATACAGAGTTACATTGCCCCTAACTTGATTCTCGTATAAATTGAATCGGTTAATGAATACACATATGTTTATGCAGTTAGAAAACGAACGGTTTAATACTTCAATTTTAAAAATAAATACCTATAATTTTTCTTTTAATTTATACGCACTGTTACATGTGTTAAAAAAGCATGATACAACATATTTACTACGACAGACTCACGACACACCCGTTCCCATATGAGAGTCCATGCAAGACGGCCAGCAGAATAACAATTGCAACAAAAAACGCCAATGTATTGCAACATTTTTTAATAACCAACATATGTATGTTAAGGTAGTAGAGTTTAACTAATTATTCATTTTAGTATAGCTATGGAAGTAATGTAATAGCCAAAACTATTTACTTTTGCTCTTTTCATTCACTTAAGTTTAGGTTGATTAACGGTAATAAAATTTATGCTCGATTTGTATCAGAAAGAACTCGCACAATGCAGCCCACACCACCTTTGGCAAATGCTTTCTCATGCCATTGCAATAGATGCCCGCTAGAGCCCTCTGAGGGAATTTCAAAGCCACGATAAATATATTTCATTAAAACATCTAATAAATCGTTTTGTTCAAGCGCTTCAACAGCTTGATCCATTTGTGATGATTTGATGGAGAGCAATACTCGTAGAGTTGTATTCAAGGCGTTGTCCTGCATATGATATAGGTGTTTTTATTACGTATGTTATATGTATGCTACTATAGAAAGTTGTATACATACCTTCACATGTTGATTTTTGCAACGTAAAGGCGCATTTTGCAACACATTAACTAAAGCCTCCACAGATTTACCCTGTGTAAGAAGTGTCGTTATTTCATTTTCATCTGGGCCAACAGTTGCTGAAATTGCATCTGCTTCGTCTTCCTTAAAATTATCCTCATTATATTGATCTACATCAATTTTTCGGAAAGCTGAACTAGAGGTATTCTTAGCCATTATTTTGTTTCAATCAGAAACAGGTAAATTTTAATTTGATATAATAAAGAATTTATGAAAATTTAGAAATAATCTAAGAATTGCACAAAAATGATTCACTCATAGAACAACGAAAACGCTTATCAAAAATGTCAAATATGACAGCTATCGCTAAATGGAAAAGCCGCATTGGGTGTATTCAGTCCAATATATTGTTCGAGTAAATAGAATACTATTTGTAATTTTGTGCAGCAGTAAACAATTCAATAAATGTAAACATGGCAATATAATGCAATTAATAAAAAATAATCCAATTAATACGTATTACATATAATTTAAATAATGTTGGTCGTGTCACAAAATTGTAAAATTTATAGTTATCGACACTTCGAATTTGTCGTAATCTCTTTGATGGATGAAATCAGCTGATTTTGACATTTGATTATAGCTTCGCATTGAGGTATAGTTTTCCAATTGTCTATATTATTATTATTTTTTTTTTGCATATTTCGATTTTAGTCAAATATATTTAGGCAACGATGGCCAAATATTTGGGACTAGACCGTCTTGGTAAAATTTTCCAAATAATCCGCCAATCTGGTGGTATAAAAAATGCCTATATGAAAATGTACAGGTCAGTGAATTCGATTAATATGAGTCTTGCTTATATAAGATTTCTATGATTTTTTCAATAAGTTGTATTAAATACATCTTTTTATAAATTTACAGGTTTGATGATCTAAAAGTCGGTACACTCGTAGGGACAGACAAATATGGCAACAGGTATTATGAAAATCCTTATTACTTTTATGGCCGCAATCGTTGGGTGGAATATGCCGATCACTTAAATTTGGAATATGACGGTTCACAAATACCCGCTGATTGGTATGGATGGATGCATTACAAGGTATTATACTTTTGTTTTTGTAAACAATTTAAGAAAAATGAATGATATTGTTTATATTTTCAGACCGACTTACCGCCAATACGCGATGGTAGCCGTCCCAAATATAAGTGGATGGCTGATCACAGTGAAAATTTGTCTGGCACTAAAGGTAAATAATTTTAATTACACTCCTTAGTTAACATTTTTTATAGAAATTGTTTGCTTTTACAAATGAGCTTACTGAGAAGTAAAACATTATCGTTCACACATAGTATGTGCTTAGGTATATTTCGCCCTAGCCAATATGTATAGGCAAAAGTGTGTTTCAAATTTTTATTTTATTTGGCGTAATATATATATATAGGACTATAAAATGTTACAAATAATTGTATTAGTCATCAAACCCGGTCTGAATTATAATTTAAATTAGATATAATAAGAGAATGCTTACATACGTGAAACCAAAAACAAAAAAAATTCCTAATTTTAAAAATATTTTATCTGAGTTCTTGGTTAGTTTAATTGTAATTCTAATTTATATGTAGATTGTATGTATTTATGAAACAATGTAAAAATCACTTTCGTTATATTATTTGTTGCAGAACAATATATGCCGTATTCGACCACACCACCAAAAGTACAGGCATGGGATCCGAAAAAATCTAAATGAGTTGTTTTTGTAATTTCAAAAATGTTTAGTGAATATAAAAAAATAAAAATTATTGTCAATTTATAAAAATTGTCAACAATACAAAAATCGTTATTCGAAGTGAGTTTTCATAGTTTTTATATTCAAACACAATTGCTAATTATTGTTAAAACTAATTGTTTACTATATAGTTACGATAAGTATTTGACATTTACGTTTACCCAAAAAATAAGAGAACCAAAGTATTAATGTTAAAAAGTGTTTGTGCGCAGATACGCATACACAGAAATAGATAACCAAATATAATATATGTATGTACGTATGAATAGAACAGGTATAAATTTAAAGTGTGCGCCAGAATGCTTTGTGTTATCACACAACATCTAGGATTTTTTACCAGGTATTCGTTTATTTGTATATCTTTTGTGTATATTAAAACATCTTCTAGCAATGCTTTTTAATATATCCTCAGAATTACTATTTGAGGATGTTAGCACACAAGATTCAATATCAGCAATTTTATAAGGTTCTAGAAATGTTTTTTTAAAGTCCGTTTGTAGCAATTGAACTCGAGAAAATATTAATGCACACAGTTTTCGTGCAGCGAATTGGTCATGTCTCCAGCTAATCTTATCAAAATCAGCTTTACTAATATAAATACTATTTTGACCAAGAACTATAATTGGATTTTCGCCAGGGATGTGAATGGGTGAGTACAAATATTCTCCCATTGATATATTGAAATTTATCTGTATTTCGGATGGTGAAACTAACTCCACATGCACATAGGGATCCTCGTTAAGTTTATTCGCGGTATTCAAAAAAACGCTATAAACATTCGTCCAATAATCTTTATATATTTTTTTCGCTTTATTAATCTCTTCGCCGCTTATGTCATAGTAGCAATCACAACTAGCATACCAAAGAAGCCTTAAATCGTCATTAACATGACCACACGTTTCGGTAATTAGTACATCTAAAAGTTGTCTTCTAACAAAAGTTGGAGTTGAAACCTTCTCTTCTCTTCTAGTAGTATTACTATTAAGTCCCAACGTGTTTGCAAAATCTTTTGAAGCATTTACTATAAATTCACGAACTATGTCTATACATGAAGCTATAATTAAATTGTTTGATGTATAAACTTTGATGTTATGCTAAAGGATTTGCAAATCTCTACCTGTTCCATCGGTCATTTTGTTCGAATAGCTTCTGCGAATCTTTTGTCACTAAATATTATATGTTAATTCTGCAGTTTTGTCCCGTATTTCTGGATTTTATGGAATTCACTGTTTTTATCGCAAATTTCTAACTGTCTTAAAATTATTTGTCTATACCTTCTTCAGTTAACAGTGCTTAAAGATAAAGCAAATGATATAAATAGGTATAAAGGAAGGATGATATACATAAAACAATGTAAGCCAAGCAGACTCTATTACTTTTTACTTACATTTTTAAAACTTCAAATTAATTTATGTTTTGGACTGTATTACAAAATATTTAAAAT